GCTGAGCCGCAAAGGGCCCCCACTTCAGTGACTGACAGGATCTCTAATTGTATCCACTCAGTCATGACAATTTGATTAAAATATTACTCCAAAGTCTCGCCCTCTGTTTGTTTCGTTCCTCCAAATCTAATTTTGATTTAAAAAAGAGAGATTACCTCCACAAGCGTGACTGAGGATGCTATTAACTTCTACTTAATCTTTATTACTGATGTGATTTTAACATATGTATAGCTTTCGTCTCGCTTCCATTCTTTCCTCTCTTTTTAAAAAAAACACACGGAAGTGTTAACCTAAAGATGGAAGAAACACCCATTTCCTGGGCTTTGCTGCACAGCGTTAGAAAATAGAGTATCGTAATACAGGCAGCACTAGGGTGCCACAAGCGCTTAACCTCCACTGGAAAGTAATACTTGTTAACTGAATAAGTAATAATTTTACCTCTAAAGAGGGCAGCCAACAGCTGTAGGCTTACATGCCCCCCCTCCCCCCCCCGTCTTCAGACCCCAGAGGACAGTTGGATCTTGTGCTCACACATACAGCTTGCAGAAGATGAACTGCGGTAGCAGACCATCACCAAACCTCCATGAGGAAACAATGCTATTGGGACCGCACCAGTAAAACCATCAGGCAGTCATGTTGGTGTGCGTGAAGCTGCAGGACCACCACCAGCCGATAACCCACCTCAGATACAAACGGCTGGAACACAGCATTCGTTTAACCAGCCAGTCTCTAGTACTCTGAATAATAAAGAAGAATATATATGTTATAGTTATTAGTAATTAGGTCTTTAAGATAAGCTTTTGCATCCCTCAAAGCACTTGCTATATTCCTAAAAATCCAATATCACATGACAGAAAAGTGTCTCAGGGAGGAGGGTTAAGGAGAACGACACGTATCATTCACCTGATTTGAATTGTAGCTGCTTTTTTGAATGTCTGCCAATTCATTTCTTACATTAAATATTGGTCAGGGATGATAACATTCCATTTTCATGGTTGGCAATGCAGAACTGGCTCAAGAATACAATTACAGACCCCAGAGTCAACTCTTCGAATGTCAACGCGATGTAAATGTTCAGAGAGAGCCGCACAAAAGAATAAGCTTCAGATTCCTTCATTTCTCTCTCCTCGCCGAAGTTCTTTAACTACTTGTACAAGCTGTGGTTACACAAACCAGAAATCAGGAGTAAGATTTCCAGCTGTGAAACGTGTCACTGTATCCACACATCCACACAGATTACTCCAAAATTAAGATAAAAATGTTACCTTAGTGTTCCTGGGCAACCTGTACGAGCTGCTTAATTGCTTTCGAAAGAAATATTTAAGCAGTAAAATTGTTCGATTTCATAATGTGCTCACTGTATCCATTTTCTCCCGAAACAGGGACCACCACTGCAAATAATTCAAGATTGAAGTATATATGGAATTTAAAGCACTGGCACTGCATTAGCTGATGAACAACCGCCATACATACACATAGACATGCATTGGGTCTAACCTCTCACAGCACAGTATAAATAAGTATAAAGTACATATTTTGCACTGAAATCTAACAATGTACTGATTAAAATGGTAGAATGAAGAAAAAAAAGTGTAAGACTGTCAGATCCAGTCGGATTTGCTGCTTTAATCTGGTGTAAAAGCCGCCAGTGCCGTCCACTGCCAGTTCCATCCACTGCCAGTGCCGTCCACTCTGTGGTTTCACCTCCCTGCACTAGATCAGATGAGAGCAGCTGGATGGATTCGTGTTTTCAAATGAAAGGCTACAGCAGTGACCGTTCTGCTGTTCACCTCACACTCTAACCCATGCCACACACCTCTCTGTAGAACTGTGTATGATGTACGCCTGCGAGTGATGAGAAACCACAGAAAAATAATAATTTACAGAGGTCAAAGCTGTGAGAGCAGATCAGCAGAAACAATCAAAAGGAGACACATGTATACACACAAAGCCTTATGTCTGCACCTCCGTACATTAGCATGATCCATAACCTGAACAGTGATGCTTGTTCTTGCATCCAGATTGAATCTGAACATTCCGAAAAGGGCTAGCAAGGAAAATCAAATATATACGTTTTTAGTGCGTCCGGACACTGGTGTCTGTGCTCATTGTTCATTTCAGGATCGCACAGCATACTGGTTGTTCAGCGTACATGACAGGCCACGTGGATGCTTTCCCCGTTCCTCCATGTCAGCGGACCATAGCAGGCCTACAGCTGACCACAGCCCCTACCTATGTCTCCATTGGCGTTATTCACTCTGGGGCCACTTGCCCCCCAAAACTCTGTTTTCACCCTCATCCTTGGACCAACTTCCCTCAAAGTATTAACAACTGACTGATAAACAACTCCGGATTAAACACATAAAAGAGGGCTGTTCAAATCACGGTCCTCGAGGTCCGAGCTCCTGGTTTTCCAGCCTTCCTTTACCTGTCAGTCAGGTGTGAAGCCTCTGGCCAATCAGAATCAGTAATTATTAAACTAACTACCTGGGAGAACTGAAAACAAGGCCTGGATTTAGAATCCAGGTCCAGATTTGAATAGGGGGGACCTAAAGTATCAAGCATTTAATTGCATACCCAGCTCCAAAAACCATTTATACTTCATCTGAAAGTCACTAAACAATTTTGGCACAAACAATTGGTACATTCTGTAATAATAAATACTTAACCCACCATTTCAGTTATTCATTTCAGTCTCCCTCATACCTACCAAACATTTCAGACACTTACCTATCAACCATCACTTGTATAAATCACACAATATATTTGTGCTCCACCTCAACCTCAGAAACAGTTCTTCGTACCTGCAGAGACCTGTATAAAACATCTTACTCTATAGTATGTCCCCTCAATAACAAACACTTACTACTCCTTTCTCCACACTCGCACATAAATATGCGGTGGACTGAGAAAGGCAGCAGTAATCTTCTCCCAGTTTCCTACACTCCCAATGGTTAGCTTATGCGCGTTTATAAATCACAAAGTTATACAGATTTCATTTGCTAGGTAAAGAATTATAATTTGATAAATATGAAGAAGTACAGAAAAGAAAAAAATGGTATAACAGTACAGACTTAGACACGTAACTACATATTTATGTAGGACAGCCAGGGTTCAATTAAGCCTCCATCTAAAGAATACTATGCTAAGGTATGATGACAGGTACGTCCGTGTGTGAAACCGCTTTTATGTATGCGAACATCTACCATAGGCTACATATATAATAATGATCAATGCTTTATCGATCTCCATGGGGAGATTCTTACACCTCCCTCAACTTGCTCTTTGGAGAGTAAGTTGTCCGCAAAGGGCAGCCACCCATAGAGGCGCCCAGGGAGCTGAGGGGTTAGGGCCTTGCTCAAGGACCCGCAGAGGCTGGGTTTGAACCAGCGACCTTCTGATTACAAGCACACAGGCTTAGCCCACAGAGCCATACACTTGCATGTGCGCTTATTACAAACACTTTAGTACTTTAGAAACACTTTTAGTAGGTTTTAAGAAGATACTTCACACAAACACACAAGTAATGGATTATATCATAAGACTTGCATTTAGGAACAAGGAACTATTTCTGAAACCAGTTTAGGACTTTACACAAATTGGACAAGCACTGTATTTAAAGACGGCTGGGCGTTCAGTGTGATACAGATCCATAAACTGATATTTTGTTGTTAACGCAGGCCTTGATAAATGCAGGACTGAAAGGGTTAACAGACACATTTCAGCTATTTCATTATTATGCTACACATGCTGACGCAACTTGTTCCATTCAAATGGAGAGCTAGCGTCCGATATTCATCCGGCGCATAAATAAAAATACTTCTTGGAGTAAGCAATCTGGCTAAAAACATAATTTGCACAAACACCTGTGACTATGCAGTTGATCCATTCAGGCAGCGAGCAGGTAATTACAGGAAATGTGTTCAATCTTTACAGACCCCATGTAAGCTCCCACTGAGCCTTCATGCACATGCCATGAACAAGTAACGCTATCAGGAGTGATCAATATTCATCGTGGTCTGATAGCCCTGCTTTAGGCAGCCAGAAGATGCACAAATTAGGTTTTGGACATGTTCACCTTGTACTATCACAGGAGTACCGGACACTGGTGCAACTGGGACTTTAAGTTGTCTAGTGGCAATGGACAGAACTGTAAAAGTGGATTGACAGCATTTGCCAAGTGGAAAAGAGGTTACAAGGGGAGTGTGGGGCCTTACACCCAAGGGTACGAAACAGCCGCTGACACACACTGACATCACTGCCTCTAATGACCATACGGCCTCGCAGGCAGGATCAGGCTTCCAGGCCCGCGTCTGATAGGCCGCCGGCAAGGGGTGGGCGGATGAGAAGGGGTTACTTCATTATGCAGCAAATTAGAAAAATTCATAATTTATCATTACGCCCAGCTGAAATGCCACCCAACTGAGCTTCGTCCTGTGAAAAACATCACGCGGAAAAAGACTGTCAGAGCCCTACTGCAGCCAACGGGCTAAATTAATATGCAAATGTATGCAAGAAATTAAAAAGCAGAATTACACAGGCAAATGAGGTAGCTACACTTGAATTGTTAGGATTATGAATAATTACTGCAAATTTCCTGCTCCTAATATAACTTGTTTTTTGATAAACAAAGACTTAATTATGGAGATGCGCTGGAGAATTTCCGCGGTACTCATTAATCTTGCAGAAGAAACCAGTCCCCAGTGGCCGGCAGTAATGAAGGGAGCGTGCCCTGAATCGGCAGCGAGATCAGAGGCGCCGGGGTGCCTGGGTAGCAGGAATAAAACCACAGTGCCCCTGTCCCTCTCCCGTACCCCAGAGTGTCATAACTTCTTCCACTAACTATCAAAGGGACTTATTTATGCTGGCAACCAAGCCTTACTTCCAATTTACCAGGCCTGGAGCACTTGAGGGACGAGCTGTTGACGTGCTCTGGAAATGCCATTTAGCCGGTCCTGCCGCTCTGGCCCTCCTGATAGTGGGCGGCTTTGGCAGACATTATGGCTCGGGACCCCATGTGGGGAAGCCCCACCAAAGGCCACCCAGAGGCCCCCAAGGCGCAGGCCATGGACCCCCAAGACACAAGGTACAGATGGCATTAATGGAATCTGGAGGTACTGCTTGCTCTAGAGGGATATGGGTAACCTGACTGAGCCTCTGCCGTAAGGGAGAGACGTGCACCACTGCGGCACATCGCAAAGCACAGCTTGTCAGATACTTGGCTTCCTGTCATTTGTTCCCCCATGAACCATGAGACATACAAATCTATAATCTATAATGAACTTGTGACACCATCAGTGTCCAATGCTACAGTACATTCCCCTAAACGTCCAGAAACTTTTTACTAGTACCACCATTAATCCAAGTTTTGGGACTTAACAGAGAACCACAAACCAAGTGATGGTGGCAGACCAGACATAACACATAACACACATTGACATTTATTATCTAACCCTAATCAACAGAGCATGTTGGCCCAAGCCCCCCCCCCCCCCAAAAAAAAAACACCTGGACAGAATGAATGAAATTTCAGGAATATAGATACATAATATTACCGTTATTCCACATAAAGAGCACCAAATGTCAGAAAATCCATTGTCCTCTCAGCATTTGTTAACACTCACCAGTTCCTTTCAGCACACTGACATCTGACGCAACCTAATCAACTCAGTCATCTTAATGGGCTATACCACAGTTTTTATATGACAAACCTTTCCACTGAATGAAGACATGTTTTTGAAGAGGAGAGGCTAAGGATAGGACGAGCAGCAGGTCCAGGCCACACCAGGCATCCTAGGGCATGTGTTGGGATTAGAGGTCGTTGTGGAGAAACCTAAACAACCTTCCCCTCCCCCGATTAAGGACCATCGCAAGAAAATAATGGCCATCGCATCAACAAAAGCCTAATGCAGGCCTTAAGGAAAATAAAATGGTCCCTCTTGTTTTGCTAGGTCCAATGTGAAATTTCAGTTTAGCGATTATAAAGTAGCCACCAGAGGTCACAGAAGCCTGGCCATTAGCAGGCTGCTAAGGCCCAATTAGGGCTGCATGACCCAGAGGAGCAGCCCATCACTGGGGCTTCATTAGCAGGGATATGCTTCAGTCCCACCGGCACTCTGGACACAAAACACGGACCCCCAGCTCTCCACATACACCTGGTGAATCACAGCATCATCTTACACACACACACAGAGGTGGAGAGCAAAGGCCAGCCTCAATCTCCACATATATTTGGAAAAAGAAGACCATAACAGACACTCTCCACCTTCTAAGGTGGCAATGAACACCACCAAAAAAACACATTCCTGAAAAATCGTGCCATAAAATCACACTGCTGGGATACTTATCCATACAGATAAGAGACTTACCCTCAAACCTTTTATTTTGTGCAGCCACAAACATGGAGGAATACGAGGCCTCCAGAGGCCGGGGCATCTATAAATGCTTCCGGCAAGAACGGGTCTGGCAAGAAGGCCTGAGGCAACCAGGCAATAAAGCGTCTGGTCATTTATATGCCTGACCCAGGCTGCCAGTGCAGAGCACAGCCAATTCAGTAACTGCTGCTCAGGTCTTGGCAAGTAGACTCTGTTCTCTAACACATACAGACCAAGAATAAAGTATTTCTGCCTTTTAACACATTAATATCCGCTACATGCATCCGCAGAGGAAGGCACCATCAACAGCACCGTCTCCAATGCCCAACCTGCTGTAGACCACACCTATAGCATTGCCTCTAAAAGCCCACCCCATTCCCCTCACTGCTAAACGAATATGAGATTCCACGAGATCTTCAGGACTGTGAGGGAAACAAAGCAGGAGGTGCAGCTCTTTCACAGTCACCCTGATTACCTAAGCAAGCGATGTCTTCCAGAGCACCAGCACAGGGGGGGGGGGTCTCAACGCGCATAAACAAATCTGACGTGATGGTCTACCAGGCATAGGACAGGCCTACTAAAGAATTATTCTTCATTAAAGGACTGGATGGGATCCATGGCTCACTTGTTCAGGCTAAAACAGCAAGACAAACTATTCAGCAATGCCTGCATTTGAGGGGGTGGCAGACAGTCGCATAGAGACGAGTGAAAACCTTCCCGGCACTGAGAGGCTCCGACGCTTTGTGATCATTCACTTTGCAGCAGAATGTTCCTATTAACAAACCGCATGTATGTGTCAGGATGAAGCACCACTGGCTGACAGCCTCTCCTCATCGTAGGCGCCAGGGCCTTGCAAAATGGAGCCAGCCTGTTATTGTGTTTATGTCCCCTGCCCCCCCCCCGGGACAGCCTGCACCAGCCAACTAATGAAGCCCCACAGAAACACCGCTAAACGGCCTTGTTTTTGCCATGGTCGCCTTTTGGGCCGGAGCCTTAATTGGGGGCTGAGTGTCCAATTACGGCGAGCAGTCGCGCCGTTCGTGCGGATAGCATACGCTGGCAGAGCCGCTGGGTGGGTGTGGGGGGGGGGGTGTACTGGTCTCAAAGGGGCTTGCATTTAGCCAAGTGGCCTCAGAAATAATTAGCAGGAGATGGCAGTAATTCGCACAATTGCCCCAGCACACCTCTGTCCACTTCTGACCATCCTTGTTTACAAAGAGCAGGCAGAGGATAAACTCCTGCCTCACATACAGGGCAGAGTGGCCCTTTTTCAGCACAAAAATTAGGTCAGCGGAAAAAAAAAAACACGGAAGCGGCGTCTGGGAGAGGAGCCCCATGACCCAGAGGGAGCCAGTCCCACAGTCCCTACATCATTAAAGCCAGAGTGAGGTCACCAACACACTTGCCTTCACCCCATAAACACACATAGCCTCAATCTCCTCTTTCCATGTATTTATCTGTCCCATCTAATTTGTTTTAGAAAAATCTGTTTGAGGAAATAAAGCTGCCGCCAGATCTTAACCAAGAGGCAACTAAAAACAACCAAATATAATTCAAGGTAGTTCACACATTGCAACCAAACTCCAATATTGATCCCAAACCTTATCGACTATAGTTTCAACCTAGGGTCCAGAAGTTTCACGAAGGCCTTAACAGACTGGTGGGGCGGGGGGGGGTTCCTTAATTTCTAATCTATTTTCATTTGGTTTAAAGAAAGTTAGAAAACGTCTGAACAATACTGGCCTACAAAGGCGAAACAGTAACTACAATAACACGCACTGACCAAAGGTTTTTGACTGTTCACCCATACAGTATGTAGCAAGGCTGGGAGATACGGCCAAAATGTTATCACAATAAAAATTTTCGTACCATTCAATATCGATAATTATCATGACATTTCTTTCCAGTTTAAAGCCTGATTTTTTGCACCTGAGTGAAAGTTGAAGAAACCAGGTGGTTAATCGTGGTTTTAAAGGATTCTTTGACATCAGAACATGAGAAACACTCGCCAACCAGCATGACATGATTGCCCATGTGGGACGGGTTGCTTTGGACTTTCCTGCTCTCCTGGTGAGTTGCCCTGTTGTTCTGACTGTGTTGTCTTCCTTCTGCCTGCCCTGTTGCATTCCCTTATTTGTTCAATAAATCCCCCATTTGTGTTTTTATGGCTGTGTCTGCACTTCTGTTCCATTGCCGGATCTGACAAGGAGTCACAGAGAAAGTGGTGTCAGTTCATTGTGATGCAAAATGTGTCACTGGCAACATGTTGGGTTTTAAATTATATCGCAGTTGTATCGCGCAGTGGTTATATTGATATTGAGGAAAAATATACTGAGATAATTATTCTTATCATTTTACCTCCCAGCCCTTGTAGGTAGATGAATGATACTTTTTTTTTGAAGACCAAGCATAGCTGAAGATATTGGTAACACGTTATTTGAATAGTCCTTTGTAGCATTTCAACAACTTATTTGAGATTCAGCAATTCAGCTGTTTCACTGTGTCTGTAGATGTTTAACAGAATATACAGTATATAGAGTATATGTGACGATTCATGAACATATCTATATATTCTTAGAACACTTTAATTGAATTTGACTACTCACTCAACCGATGTTATATAAATCGTTGAATCTCAACTAATAAGTTGTTGAAATGTACAGTATACCCTCTGTAGGCGGACTATCCAAATAACGTGCTACCAAGATATTTTGCCACAAGATAAAACTGAGTTTAAGAGCTGATTTGTCATAACTCAATTTTGATAAACCATGGAGTTATGGTGTCTTGCCTTATATAGTTATATAGCATTTAACTGTGAACTAATCGGGTGTGTCCCCCCCCCCCCCGCCAGCCCCCGCAGCTCTGTGGCAGCATTAATGAGGCAATAGTCACATTTACCTCACAATGATGGCGTCCCTTAAAGGAGACGTCTGACATAGCTCTCCACAGCCAGGGCTAAAGAAGCACCCCCAGAACATCACCATCAACACCCGTAAGCACAGAGGCAGTCCAGTACAGCCCCTGCTTCCATGGCACGTACGGGACATGCTTTCTGCCCAGAAAAGCAGGACACTTGGACAGATAATACCCTGAATCCAAATCTGCTTGCAAAAACTGTATATTGACAGCTGTAAATATCTTCCTGTTCATATTTGACCAATTATTAGATAAACTTATTATGCATGCTTTCCAGACTTATATTTTTCTGCCCTTATCTGTTTGAGTCGTCCCGCGTAGAAGAGGCTGGGAACCACAAAATGTGTGCCTAGATATTACTACATTTTTTAAAATTGTGGAACTGCAGCAAGCAAGCGAGATTAAAACATGGTACAAATGAAATCAGCTACTTGGATTATTTAGGTCTGACCAAAGACAGACAGAGGCTTTGCAGAAACTCACTCTGGGGAGCATGACCAGTGTCTAACTGCCTTGTGCATGGATCACACCGAACAGGGGTTCATATACACCCTTCCACCTTTGCATACGTTTTGTTATATAGACTGTATGTAGCCCTAACCACAGGGATAACTGTAAATTCAGTGCGTCTATCATTTTTTGATACAAAGTTGCATACATTTTACGTCAACAAGAATAATTAGTGAGGCAGGCATTAAAGAGCTGGTCTGTCATCTGTTTCCACGGGTACAGTTACCAGGGTCGGGTCACCCCAAGAGGGAGAGTGATTCTAGTGTGAGCAGATGAGAGCAGG